GTTCAATAAAATGGTATGATTTAATTATATTGCTGAATTAAACGATTATTTTTGTTTTTACATGCAAGATTTAAATTAGTACTAATATGAATACCCGGCCTCCTCTGCCCCGGCAATATATAAAAAAAAATCAGAAAGGTTTGTCCCTTGGTGTAGGCAGGGATGTGTACACATCCCTGGTGTAGGGAAGGTGTTTAGCCCCGTACCATCTGTACCGGTCACATTCCGGTACTAAATTCAATATATATTTTAATATATCTACTTTATGTTTATGCCTATTATCATTGTTGACATTTAATTGTAAATGTATGACGGGAGAAGGCTGTGATAAATTGTAAAAACTTGTGCCCCATCCCTTGTTCAATTTTATTGGCAACAAATAAATGTTTAAAGCTAAATAAATTCAAATTCTGAATATTAGCAAGTGTGCAATTAACTTCTGATGATGAATAATTATTGTTCTATAAGTTTGAATATGGACTTAGAAATCATATAACTTGGTTGCATAGTGCGGGGAAGAAGTTGCAGCTGCCTAACGGCCCCTCTCTGGGGACCCCTTTGGAAACCGTTTTATCTCGCTCAGATCACTCAGTGTCAATAAAGTATCCGTCCTGTCTTTGGATTCCCAGAGTTTACATTACCCAACCTCGCAACCTGTTACAAATATTTTTGTAATTGAAAAAACAATTACGAAAGTATGTAAGAAAATGGTTGTTTTACAAGGATTTGATACCGATATTATTGCCATTCGACGAGAACCTGGTACGATAGCTATCAATTCTTGAAACTGTTTTCTGACTGACCCTACCACTGATATCTAAACAATCCTCATCCCTGAGTGATACATTGTACATGTAGATTATGCAATTATTTCGTAGTTGAAAAGGAAAGCAACGACAAGAAATGCAAAGTCGATGGAAGTTATGTTTGAAAGTAATGAAACGTTAAACTATCCGCTGTCTATCAGTCTTTGTTTTTTTGTTGAAGAGGATACAATTTTACTGCGTTGCAGCCTTATTATAACAATACCTACACAACTAATGGGCTTAAGTTGGATTACTGATACCGGTTCACTCAAAGATTTTGCATTATCTGCAAATCCAATAGCTTATTTATGTTTTAAAATCTTTCTAATATTTGTCCAGTGTTTTACTGTGCCCGCTGTAATCATACGAATTTAAAATCATCATTTTTGTAAAATGATAAAAATCCTAACAATGAATATTTCCATGCCTAAAAAATCAACAATGTTTAGTTGTATCAAAGTTTTACAAAATAATGTACTTATCAATATTTAGTTGAACTGGTGATACATGCAAGAGTAATTAACCCAGATAGTCCCAATAATACAAGTACTGTTACCGACCTAAAATCTAATTATGTGGTTCTGTTGCATGTGCGTTATTAGCTGTACTGTGATGTAGATAGTTGCTGTATTTCTATTTCTAAATCGGCATAATATTGTTGTATTGAAAATTATTTCAGTTTCCTTTTCAACTTTTATATCTATACATATACCCTGTTTTGATTGAAAGATAAATGTAACAGCCGAAGCTTTGGTCTTTTAGTGTAAATGACAAGTCATGTTTTATATTCGAAATTATCAATATATTTTTTACTGTTTTGTATTTTCTTACCTATAACTAGACAATTAATTATTTGTAATAAATATTTTACAACAATTATGTAGCATTTTTTTAATAACTTATACTTATCTCTCTTGCTGGCCCAGATGTAAGCGCGGGGGTCAGGGGTCTTACTGTGGGAGGAAGCCAGAATACCCAGTAAACAAGAGGCCCTACAGTATTTATTTTTGTTGTTGAAATATGTACCAATTTAAGTAAAAAATAGTTAAGTATAATGGCAGCCAAATTGTATTTCTGATCGACCCGAAAAATAACAACACTTTGTCAGGACCATGAGTCGATCATTCCTACCAACTTTCAGTTCAATCAACTTAGCAGAACCTGACTTAAAGTTTGAAATAGATTTTCAAAATGGCGGCCGTGGCGGCCATATTGGATTTCTGATTGACCTGAAAAATAACAACACTTTGTCAGGACCATGAGTCGATCATTCCTACCAACTTTCAGTTCAATCGGCCCAGCAGAACTTGACTTTAAGTTTGAAATGTAAAATGTTAACGGACGACGGACGAAGACGGACGAAGACGGATAGCAATAGGTCACTTGAGCTAAAGCTCAGGTGACCTAAAGCTCAGGTGACCTAAAAACCCATGTGGTCATGCAGGTGACCCCGGCTGCCTTGGTGAATGGCAAGTGTGCTATCCACTGCGCCACCCAACCAACCAGTTTTAATAAAGCATATATATACAAGTATGTTTAAGTCGTAAGATCGTGTTTAAGCTTCTCTTTAATACAGAAATTGCATGTATCTTTTGTATCACTGCGTGTAATTTTGAATAGCCATAGATTTGCCTGTTTTACAAACTTTTTGAAATATCCATGGGGGAGATTACACGTGCTAGGAATTGAAATGTGTGTATATACTGACCACAAGGGGAACATGACACTTCAAATGGCATATTTTAAATTGTTCTTTCAGATGAAATCATCAGATCATAGAAAATAGGAATTGTTAAAAATGCTGAATTTCAGTGTTCAAAATTGGGAACCTTATGACAGGTTTCTTTATCATTACATTCATAATGTTAATATATGTAAAAATTATAAAGATGATATGACATATCATCAACAGAAAAGGCGTGGGTGGTTCAAATACTTCTACCCGGCTCCTCCTGTCCTGCTGCTTCTGGTTCTACGGGGCTCTAATTAAATGAACAACTGATACGAGAGAGTTTCGCCTCAGAAAATCAGAATCGTCGTATTTTAAGTCTAAAGAAATGAATGAATGGTCAAACCTAAAGATCATCATCACATCGTGTTGGATTATTCACTTCTGGTTTAATTCACGTGCACGTAAACCTGTAGGTAAATGTGAAAAGTTACGTACAGTTTCGTGAAACACCCCCTATGTTACGTGCACATAAATATTTACAGGTACCCGTACATTTATGTACGCGTCATGAAACAGCACCAAGATGTCCTTGTTCACCAAATTTGGTTACTCTAGGTGAAATAGTATACAGTAGAAGATATATATGCCCCGGACAAACCTTTTCAAAAGTAAAGGTCAAATGTCAAGTCATAGTGACCTTTTACTTCACTCTGCCATCCCAAGATGTCCATGTACACCAAATCTGGTTACTCCAGGTGAAATAGTTTAGAAGATATGTTACGTCCAAACTTCTTGCATGGACGAAGTGCAAACCTATACTCTCCCCCCCCCCCCCCCCCCCCCCCGGAACCAGGGTGGGGGACTAATTACCCATGCCCCCCAACGCCCAGAGTTATTTTGGTGGCAAGCTCTCATCTCCTGATCCCACCTAGTCGCCTACTACAAATCAAAAGCATTTGGCAGAAATTTGAGGAAATTTAGAAACCGAATAAAAGCTTCCGAGTGCTTGTTCTTCTAAAAACATCCCTTTTTTCTCTAATGAGTTTACTATTTCAAAATATATACATACTTTTGAATACAACAATCTGTTCTTCCACTATTGCCTATGTGTGTCTCTCCATAGACCTGAGAAGAAAGACAGGTGACTTTAAGCGTTACTGTAGTTATCGCAATCAGCTGTCAAATGTCAAAGCACACGTGCTGTACAGTAACTCAATACAGCTGATGGTTTGTCAGTTTCCTTATTTCGAATTTATTCCAAAAAATAAAACGTGTTAAAAAATGTCATTCAAACATATCTCCGATAATATAACGTTACAACATTTGTGTAGGTCTTTTGCCATTATGGTGACAGCTAGGGAATACACAGCTGCATGACCAGGTCGCCAGTTTGACAGGTCGCGTTTAATATCAGGGTGATGTTGAACTGGTGAATATATTACTAGGGAAAAGTAAAAGTTACTTTGTGTACTCACCGCCATGACAAGTTCGAAAGGGTATTTATACACCCGTACGGGTGACTGGTACGTCTGCACCATCACGATTTCTGAATAATCCGGCCCACTCGATCGTCCCGAAACGATCAACACTCACGTCGCATCTAGAGCCTAACAACACGTCACTTGTGTGGTTTTGTTACAACAAAATATAGTCCATCAGTTCAAAACAAACAAAGTTTAAAAAAAATATTTGTGCCGAATAAAGTAAAAAGAAACAGAAGAATTTTGATAGCAATTAGATGTGATAGGTTGTCATTGCACAATACCATGTAGAAAAATAATATTGGTTTATGTGTTTAACAAATTAGTCCGCGTATAAGGGAAATAACTCTTCAACTTATGATAATAAGGTATCACACGCATAAATAGTAAACATATACTGTGCATTTTTTTTCTTGATCTTAGAGCAGTTTCTTCATTCAAAATAATAAACTAAATTGACATGAATTAAAACAACATAATCTTCCTCTTGCATATCCAGGTGTCACTTCCACTGGGCGAATATCATTGATGATTGAGAAGAGTATGATAAAGGTTTCCATACCTTATTAGTAAATAATTGATTATTCAACAATTAAATCATTACTTTCTTTGTTTTGCATAGTCATAAAAAGCTCTAAAGTAAAAATGATAAATCGTCATCCATCTTATTCAATGTATTACTGTACTGATATCAGTTGCATTCCACATTTGATGTCTGATTTATAAATAAAAAGTATAGGTAATTGTCTTTTTTTTAACACTTATACCAGTTTTTAACATTCAACCCAGTGTCACAGACCTTGAAGTAGGTCAAGGTCATTTATTTGGAGATATGATCTACAACTTTCACTGACCTTTGCAATGGAAGCAAGAGGCACTGTGGGTCTGTATCATTCAATGGCAAAGGCCCAAGAGGGCCTGTATCGCTCACCTGAATATTTAAGCAGTCATAGCAAATATTCTCATTAAATATTATATTGTACTTCAAACTGGCCATCATTCTTCTTCAAAAGTTGTTTGACATATTTTTCCCTGTGACCTTGTAAGTATGTCAATTCATTCTCCTTCTCAAACTTTTGTAGCTCTATCCCAAGAAGCTACCAGCAAAATCTTATGAATCCATTCCTTTTGGTTCTTCAGAACAAATCCTTTGAAATGTTGTTGACCTCTGTGACATTTAAAATTTTAATTTGCAAACTTTGGTGAGCTCTATCCCAAGAAGCCACTAGCCAAATATTGTAATTTTATACCTTTCGATTTTTCAGAAGAAGTCACTAGATGTTTTTGATATATTTGACACCTGTGACCTTGAAGAAGGTCAAAGTCATTTTCATTCTCAAACTTTGTTGGGCTCTATTCCAGGAAGCCACCAGCCAAATATGAAGGTTCTATATCTTTTAGTTCTTCAGAATAAGTTGTTTGAAGTGTTTGACATATTTGACCACTGTGACCTTGAAAACAGGTCAAGGTCATTTTCATTCTCAAACTTTGTTGGGCTCTATCCGAGGAAACCATCAGCAAAATATAAAGATTCTATACCTTTTGGTTCTTCAGAAGAAGTCTTTTAAAGAGTTTGACATATTTGACTCCTGTGACCTTGTAAGCTGGTCAAGGTCATTTTCGTTCTCAAACTTTGTCGGGCTCTATCCCAGGAAGCCACCAGCCAACTATAAAGATTTTATACCATTTGGTTCTTTAGAAGAAGTCGTTTAAAAAGTTTGACATATTTGACCCCTGTGACCTTGAAAGCAGGTCAAGGTCATTTTCATTCTCAAACTTTTGTCAGGCTCTATCCCAGGAAGCCACCAGCCAAATAATGAAGGTTATATAACTTTTAGTTCTTCAGAAGAAGTTGTTTAAAGAGTTTGGCATATTTGACCCCTGTGACCTTTAAAGAAGGTCAGGGTCATTTTCATTCGCAAAGTTTGTTGGGCTCCTACCAAGGAAGCTTTCATTCAAATATCATGGCTCTACGCCTGTCAGTTCTTCAGAAGAAGCCGTTTAAAGGAAAAGTTGACGCCGGACGGACAAACGACGGACGCCGCACCATGACATAAGCTCACTTGCCCTTTGGGCAGGTGAGCTAATAAAAATATAGCATTGACTAATGGAGAATTTGTTATCACAAAACTAGTTTTGGTTTAATGGTTCAGTTTAATACTGGTTCGGCTTTGGTTTCAAAACTGGTTTCGGTTTTACTACTGTTCAAACAAATATCTGGTTTACATAAAACATCGTTTGTAAAACAAATGTGTGGCTGGTAAGCACTAATACTATATCTCAATGATGATGACATGGATGATATCCTCCTGTCATCGGTTTCCGCGCACTTAAGAAGCAGCCGCGATTACGTACTCAAATCAATAGAAAACTGTTGAAATGACTGTCATAGACATGTGTACAATCTACTAATGGAAACAAAAACTAATGAAACAAGAGGTCTAATGGGCATGCATTGCTCCACTGGTATTACTCTCACACTTGTAACCTTAAAAGGGATCTAAAGTAAAGCTATAAGCAAAATATCAGTGTTTATGACTATAAATATTTCAAAAGAACCTATCAAAGATGTTAAAACATTTGACCCCTGTGACCTTGAAAGTCAAACAATGTTGTTACAATGAACAAACTTTATAGCCCTTCATCTCAGGATGCAACTTGCCAAATGTCACTACCCTTGACCTTTCTTTATTGAGATTAGTTCAATTAAAGGTTTATACATATTTAACCAAATGTAACCTTGAAAGTGGGTCAAGGTCATTCAAATGAACAAGCTTGATAGCCCTTCATCCAAGCATGCTACTGACCAAATATCAACATCCTGGGCCTCATGGTTATTCAGAAGAAGTCGTTTGAAGATTTTAAACAAATTTGATCCCAGTGACCATGAATATAAGTCAAGGTCGTTCATTTCAACTAAGTTGGTAGCCCTTTTTCCAATCATGTTAAGGGCCAAATATCCTCCTCCTGCACCTTTTGGTTATTCAGAAGAAATCGTTCAAGTTTTTAAACATATTTGACCCCTGTGACCTTGAATAAAAGTCAAGGTCATTCATTTGAACAAACAAAGTAGTCCTTCACCCAAGCATGTTACTGGCCAAAGATAATTATCCTGCGTCTTATGGTTATTCAGAAGAAGTGGTTTAAAGATTATGAACATATTTGATCCCTGTGACCTTGAATAAAGGTCAAAGCCATTAATTTTTACAAACTTGGTAGCCCTTTACCCTAGCATACCACTGGCCAAATATCAACATCATGGGCCTTCTGGTTATTCAGAAGAAGTTTCATACCAGCATGCTACAGGCCCAATTTCAGTACCCTTGGCCTCTTGGTTATTGAGCAGAAGTTGTTTGAAGATTTTAAGACAATTGACCCATGTGACCTTGAAAGTGGGCCAAGGTCATTCATTTAGACAAACTTCACAGTCCTTCATCCCAGCATGCTACAGGCCCAATATCAGTACCCTTGGCCTCTTGGTTATTGAGCAGAAGTTGTTTGAAGATTTTAAGACAATTGACCCATGTGACCTTGAAAGTGGGCCAAGGTCATTCATTTGAACAAACTTTGTAGTCCTTTACCCCAGCATGCTACAGGCCCAATATCGGTACCCTGGGCCTTTTGGTTATTGAGAAGTCGTTGTTTGAAGATTTTACGACATTTGACCCCTGTGACCTTGAAAGTTGGTCAAGGTCATTTATTTGAACAAACTTGGTAGACCTTCAACCTAGCATGCTACTGGCCAAATATTATTAGCCTGGGCATCTTGGTTATTCAGAAGAAGTTGTTTAAAGTAAAAAGTTGACGCCGGACGGACGCCGGATGGACGACAGCGCCGCACCATGCCATAAGCATTGGGCCAGGTGAGCTAATAAATGTATTCATTTAGTAATAATAGAAATGTCTGCATAGCAGAGATGGCCGTTTAATCAGTCAATAATAACAAATGAAAAACCAGTTTCAGTTTAATTTTAGTTTTAAACTGGTTTTCATTAAAAAATAGAAAGTTTACAAAACCAGTTCGAAACCAAAACTAGTTTCGTGATAACAAATTCGCCATAAGTCTCAGGGGTGAGGCTAACATCCTGGAAGTAAGACACTATTGCTTCCAGAAAGCACATATATGGACATCGGTATGTGCACCAAAGACAAAGTCAAAAGGGACAAATTTCAAGTGTATTCTTCCTTTCATGCTTTTAACAAATATAGATGGGATTGGGATATAAAGTGTTTCCATGTTGTGACCTAGCTAAGGACTACATCCAAAGGGTTCGGGCCAATTCTGATGGCATTATTGTGTTTGTCCAGCAAATGTGTGTATGGTTATAAAAAAAGATTAGTGGTAGGCAGTCTCAGTGTTTATTGAACATATTTTATATGTAGTTAAATATTAACATGTCATTGTTTAAGTCGGCCTTTATAGAAAGGTTCATTTCTGATCAGATACCATTTTAACATATTCTGTCAACATATTACATATATATCCTGATCATTGTTGTGACTACTGCATGAAGTAGTGAGAGAAGAACCTACAGAACCTGATTACTACTAAGTATCGTTTTCCTCCTATCAAATTTGACCCTAGCATTGTGATTTAATTAACATTAAGCATCAACAACACCAGATGTTGGCACCAGGCAAGGTGGGCCAAAGATGATCAGCATAATTTAATAGTTTCCTTTCACTAGACATTTCAGATCAATTGCTCACATTTTCAGAGTTGATTGTATCGATGCCTCTGAGAGAATCACAAATGTGTTCATATGATGTGTCTGAATTAAATCAATAACATTATGGTCCTTTTACACCATCAAATGTCACTGCCTATACTTTAGATGTATATTCATCTATCTGTAAGTTTTCCATCTTAAAGGTAAAGGGTACCACAGCATGAGTTATAATAGTGAAGAAGAGCTCCACTTAAGTGTATTCTTAGGTCGAGAGTATTCTCCCTTCTATAAAAAGAAGATGAAGCAACTAAAGGGAATTTTTCTTACTTAAGAGTTACTTCCCATGTTAAGTCGTTCCTATCCTTTACAGTCAATAAATTGGACACTAATTTCAATGCTGTGCTTGTATAACTCCTGTATGGCAACATCGTAATGTAAATGTCCCATGTTTGACCCATGCAGGTTTTTTTTTCAACTTTATAATGCATGTCAACCTGTGATTTTTCTGGAGTACTAATCTTTTGAAAAGGACAAATATTTTTACAGTATTGACAATGGTAGTTATATATTTTAGCAAGTTGGTATCCTTTAATGTTAATGCTGCATATTTTACTGATGTGCCTATCATTATAATCACAGGTATAGCTTTAACAGGTAAAGGTGCAGCCCTTTTCTATGGCTTATTCCATGTTAATATCTGTACATGTTTCTAAGAGGTGTGTATCACGCCTCTGATGGCTCTCTGTAAACTTTTAATTTGTATAATTGTACATGTAAACTGCACATCTCCTTGTTATCATGCTACAAATATTAAACGTCCTTGTGGTGTTGCGTTTCTTTTATTTCTCTATTATGTTTTATTAGTAAGGAGCTCTATCGAGTCAACTCATGGATTCACCCTAGGACACTACCATAAAGTTCTACATCAGAAGCTCTATAGAATCCACTCACAGATCCACCCTCGGACACTACCACAAAGTTCTACATCAAGAGCTCTATAGAATCCACTCACGGATCCACCCTTGGACACTAACACAAAGTTCTACATCAGGAGCTCTATAGAATCCACTCACAGATCCACCCTAGGACACTACCACAAAGTTCTACATCAGGAGTGTTCATTTCAGAAGAGTGAACCCTCTATTTTTTAAACAATTAGAAACAAAAGCTGAGATTCAGGTCTATTGTAGATTTATTTCTTTATCTAAAACAAAGCTACAGATACAAATATATACCCTAATAACACAACTAGCTCTTGTTTACACTTAAATTCAGATATTCACCAAACACATTGACCTTTGATTATCATATTAATTACATATGACTGTTTGCATACTTCTGTGCTCACTGATACAAATAAGTATACAGTGGCCTTCATTACATGACTGTAGTTCACCTATCCACATATATACAGTGCCTTTAGTCATAAGGTAGTTCATTGATACATATATACAAGTTTTAAATCATGACGGAAGTTCACTGATACATAAATATAGTGCCCCAGACTACAGGTCTGCAGTTCACTAATCTAGTGTCTCACATGATTTCATAGACATTTTCATCAATTTGTTTGCTACAATTCAGAAAGGTCAATGTGGCAGATCATTCTGACCCTACTCAGTACTTTAATGTTACACGTGATATATTTACCTTTCAGAAACACACACATCTTTTTCATACACACCATGTTCATCGTTATAAACCAATCACAATCTGATACATATAGTCTCTTTGACGTTAATATTAGTTTTAAGATTACTTTTGTACAGGTAATTTGTTTTTGATTTTACACCAAGTTAGCGTAAAATTTCACAAATGCATTTCAATGCAAATTTTTACACAAATATATTATAAATATATTATAGTGCAAAATTTACAAAATACCGCAGTTTTTACTTGAATAAAACATAAAACAAATGTATAATCAAACTTAATATGAATGAATAAGTGCAAAATTTACGCAAACTTTCTGTAAGTGTTAAATTTTTACCAAATGTAGTTCATGTATATTATAAACTTCTCCACAAAGCATACATCATATTGTAAAATTACAAAATTACAGTGTAATCTTCTTAAACTTATTAGTTCCATACACCCATCCAGAATAATATATTTTTGTATTAATGGAATGGGAATTATCATTCATCAATATAAGTGTCTGGATGATCAAAGTCCAGATTAACAGTGATTAACTGTAAACAATCATCAAACACGTGTATCACAACATGATGGAGACAGTGAACTGTATCTTAGTCAACTAGTAGTATTTGGCTGTTACAATGATACATAGGCACCTAGTAACAATAACATCTCCTAAAACAATGTAATATGTAATGAAGGATACATCCTCACAACGAGTATCAGCGAAGGTTTTCTACTCCCTAACATTGAAATAATAATAATGATGATGCCACAAGCATGTAACAGTGTGTAGAATTACATAGATATTAAACTGTAAATACTGTGAAACATTTAAACAACCACACCTTAATGTACTCATCTCAATAACTGCAATTTCAGTTAATAAGAAGATTAATGAGATGTAAATCTTAGATTTTCTATGTGATCTCAGGCCAGGTTCACTTATTGATTCATCCTGTCATCCACACTCTCTTACACTCTCTTCCATACACTCAAGCAATCGGTAAATTAAATGCTATCTATTTTGTATCAATCTTGCAAACAAATAATTTACTTGGACATATGACATAAAAAACATTGATAAATGGTCAACAAAAAATATAAAGAATTAAATTATCAAGGCTTTATACAGCACTATAATACACAGAAAAAATAACGATAACTACAAATTTGCTGTTTGTATGAAAAAAAAATGATAAATAAAATACTGAGACATAATAATATTAATAGATTAGTTTTGTTCAAGATTTCATGTTGTTCTATCTCTGACTAAATATCAGCCCTTGTCAGATATTCCCAGATTTGGGTAAAGTATCACAATTTGTCATAGATTTTCAGATTTGAAATAGATATCACAACTTGCTTATTTGAATAACTGAATAAACTCAGTTATTTGTAATATATATCCTCCCCGTCACAGGTAATCCAGGTATCTCTATTCCAACTAAAGGATTCTTATATCCCGGTGTTCTTCTGCTGCTTAAACTAAATTTTCATACAAAAAACAATCTTGGATCAACATGTTTTCAATGACACATTTTAATTCATGCTGTTTTAATGTCTAATAATGAAATAGTTGTGAGCAAAGGTCTTTAGATTTTTCTTTAATTTTGATAAATATGAAGAAAAAAAAACAATAAAGGAATTCAATACCGCCCAGGGTTATACATTCACTTCCCATATGAGTATTTCTGCGTGGGCCACGGAGAACAAATATTTACTCTCAGGGCAGAACTTGACAACAGTCACCGAGTCATTGTGGCCAGTGAAATCCTGGAAACTTCCTTCATAATAATCCATCAGCTTCATCAGACGTTCTACAAAATTTTAAACAGGGAACTTATAAGGAAATTATTCAGCAAGAAGAGGTTATGAATATTATACTATTTTTTAATGCCAGTATTTTTTCCTGTATGAACAGCAGGCCCATTGGGCTTGTATTGCTCACCTGTTATACATCTCAAATCTGTGACCTTCAAATTGGTGCAAGTCAAATTTAGTTAAACAGGCTACATTGCATTACTCTTTACATTACTGATCTTTGTCTAAAGATTTCTTTTACCCCACACATCATAAAACTTTGTTGGTAGATTTTTACTTGATTTACTCATGCATCCTTCAAAGCTGGTCCAGGTCAGTAGTATAGCAGAAATATGCACTGGCTAAAATACTCTTTGTTGAATAACCTTTTGGAAACAATAGCCAATCTTTTTAAGGAAGTAGCTACAATGGATTACCATTAACACCCCTCCATAGTCATTAATAACTTCATATTAGCATCATGATTGACTTTATATCAATAGCCCCTAGAGATATAAATGACTTACCATTAGCCCCCAAAGTGATCAAGGAGGAATTGGGGCTCATATCCATACACGTTGCCCAGTGTGTCAGCGCTGAAGTCCGCACCACCTGTACAATAGTCATTACAACATAAGCTGGGAGGAGGCCATTGAGTTTTTGTATCATTGCATACAAGATGAAATGGAACTGAGAATATAATAAACTATTTAGCGGATTGATTTAAAAATCCCAATTACTTACTGTTCCTTTTTATATCCTAAACCTATTTCTTATTAGCTCCTCAGGTTTTCATTCATAACAAGATCTTCTCTAGAATTTCCAATTAGGGACAAACAGTCAGAAAATTGTGAAATGCTCATATCAACAACATTCTTTTGAATTCTTACAAAAAACACATTTAGTGTTTTATCTTGTACTGTGACCTAAAAGGTTAAAATGAACGTATACTCTATTGTGTGACAAAGGTTACAGTGAAGGTTTACGCTATTGTGTGAAAAAAGTTACAGTGAAGGTATACTCTAGAGTGTGACAAAGTTCACAGTGAAGGTATACTCTAGTGTGTGACAAAGGTTACGGTGAAGGTATACTCTTTTGTCTGACAAAGGTTACAGTGAAGGTATACTCTATTGTGTGACAAAGGTTACAGTGAAGGTATACTCTTTTGTGTGACAAAGGTTCAATGAAGGTTTACTCTATTGTGTGAAAAAAGTTACAGTGAAGGTATACTCTAGTGTCTGACAAAGGTTACAGTGAAGGTATACTCTATTGTGTGACAAAGGTTACAGTGAAGGTATACTATTGTGCGACAGAGGTTACAGTGAAGGTATACTCTATTGTGCGACAAAGGTTACAGTGAAGGTATACTCTATTGTGTGACAAAGGTTACAGTGAAGGTTTACTCTATTGTGTGACAAAGGTTACAGTGAAGGTTTACTCTATTGTGTGACAAAGGTTACAGTGAAGGTATACTCTTTTGTGTGACAAAGGTTACAGTGAAGGTATACTCTATTGTGTGACAAAGGTTACAGTGAAGGTATACTCTATTGTGTGACAAAGGTTTCCGTGAAGGTATACTCTATTGTGTGACAAAGGTTACAGTGAAGGTATAATCTATTGTGTGACAAAGGTTACAGGCATGAACATACCTTACGCTGTGACAGACTGTAAAACTGTACATGTTTCTGACTGCCATACCCCGTGTACACTATGATATCTTGCTCCTCCGGTGAAAACATGGCAAGACTTGGGGGCAGGTTACCAAATAAACCCTGGAAATTGCAAACAACAGAAGTGCTTATTCAACTCAGGTTGAAAAAAGACTTGAGATTCTGATCTTTATGCATGCATACCATTATATATATTTAAAAATATGAGAAAATTTACCTCTAGGAATATGATTAGCATTTATACAAAACAGAGAAATCTGACTGTACATTGCTCTCTACGTACCTGGTCTTGTTTGGAGATGACAGCACCATCTGGCGTAAATGCTGGGGCTGGGAAAGTCAGCCAATCTACTAGTTCACAGAAGTCCTTTGACCAGTCAGCTGACCAGACACTTACACGGCGATCAGCACTGGTGGCCAGCCACAACAGCGGGGCAGTGATACCTACATCCTGGTCCTAGTGATACAAAACAGTTGGTCAGTCATCACACTTAAATAGATTAGTCCCACAAAACAGTGGTCAGGTATTTACAGGTGTACAGTTATTACATTTTAATAGCATGGTAAAAGTAAACAGGTGAGCAGTTATTATAGGCAGACTGTTATTACAGCTGGCATTCATAACAGAAGGGCAGTTGTTAAAGGAGGTAGTTATTATAGATGGACATTTATTACAAATAGCAAGGTAATACAGATGGTAAGGTATTACAGAAATTTATTACAATTACAGGAATGCAGTTATCAAAGATGTCAGTTATTTCAGACAGTTTTTATAGGCAGGCAGTTATTATAGACGAGCAGTATATTAATGATAGTTGTAAATCACTTTTTTTTCTGTTATATAAAATAACAATATATATCAAAATAAATCCTTTCAAAAGAGGATTGACATATTCCCGAATTAAGCCTACAGGTATTGTTCATGAGTATGAAAAAAACAAAAAATAGAATAGATAAAGAATTCAGTAAAATATGAGATTTACAACAAGTACAAGAAAACTGCTATTAAAAATATCCTGAATGTATCAAAATGACTTGGCTTGTGTACCTGTTTGTCTGTGACATCAATGTTGGTGATGGGGGCACCCTTATGGTCATTGATGACTCGGACAGTCATTCCTGTTGTGGGACTGCTGACTGCGATCAGGCCATCACTTCCTCCAGATATTATCATACGCCCTGAACAACCAATCAAAACCATGTGATGTTTAGGGATAAATATCAATATTATTTCATTAAATGAGATCATACCCTCCAAAATCCTGTTTCTTCTAGTTACACCACAGTTTTGTAAAGACTAATTCCCCTAACGAAAGAGGGATGTGGCACCCACCAATGAAAGATCATAGAATGTTGCTGTTAGGCGGATTCTTTTTCTTTTCTTGCACAAGCGCATGTACTGATGTACAAAGCATATTATGATATTTAAGTTGCAAAATAATATTTCAGAGGCTTTTACTATGCTAGATTTTTTGAAATTTTCAAATAGAATCAAGCACAACTTTAAAGGGGATCATGCATAACAAGTTCCATCATATGATTTCATCTGTATTTTCCAAGAAATAGTGATAGTGAAACTCAACTTTGTCTGGCACTTAGCCTGGCACCTACCATCAGAGGAGAAACTAATAGCAGTAACAGCGACAGCATGAGGGTGCATCTTTAGGACCATCTCCACCTTATTGGGGTCAAAAAGGCGCACAGTGCCGTCGCTGTATCCAGACACCAGTGGAGGCAGCTGGTGGTTTTCTAGGTGTTGATGGGCCAACACAGGAGCCTCCTGCAGGTTACTCACGGTAGTCATGGTGACAATGTCCGGACCAGAGGGGGCAAATGCAACACAGGTGCAAGACTGAGAAACAGAAAAACAAAAAGCAATGAAATTTCAACTTTCATAGTGAGCTCTGCATACAAGTTTTGCATAATTTAATCATTATTGTTGTACAAATATATTGAGTATATTTAGGTTAAAAAGAATGGTTTCATGTAGAAATCTCAAATCAAAACCATTCTGCATCATGTCCTCGTTAGAGATATCCCCATACTTGACATTCCCAGCAAGTTAAGCTGCCATCAGATGAGCCTTTAAAGAATGATAATCAATCACAGACAGACTGACAGGTGAGAAGAAAAAATATAACTAAATTTTAAAGTAAATGGTATAAAAATGTTCACAATAGCTGTACAACACAGAAACCGTGTGAAAGGCTGGAAAACCTACCTGATCTCTGACCTGGAACTGTAGCAGCTGTTCCCGGTCCTCCACTGACCAGACACGCAGACTTCCGTCATTAGCACATGATGCTACATGGGAACTACTGCAGGAAGACAGGCCGTTCACCTGGAAAACACATTAAGACCTAATACCAGGCATTCACTTGGCATACACATACATCACACTAAGATCTAATAAAGGCCGTATCAAAAACAGCTTGGTCATTCACAAAGTGAATCCAAAAGTTAATTTATTTATTACTTACCCTGGACATGTGACTTCAATCATTACTAACCCTGGAAAGTGACTTCATTACAAATTCTGGATATGTGACTGCATTAATTACCTACCCTGGACATGTGACCTCTATCATTACCTACCCTGGACATGTGACCTCAATTGTTACCTAACCTGGACATGTGACCTCTATCATTACCTACCTTTGATATGTGACCTCTATCATTACCTACCCTACACATGTGACCTCTATCATTACCTACCCTACACATGTGACCTCAATCATTAACTACCCTACACATGTGACCTCAATCATTACCTACCTTTGACATGTGACCTCAATCATTACCTACCCTGGACATGTGACCTCGATCATTACCTACCCTAGACATGTGACCTCTATCATTACCTACCCTACACATGTGACCTCAATCATTACCTACCCTTGACATGTGACCTCAATCGTTACCTACCCTGGACATGTGACCTCTATCATTACCTACCCTGGACATGTGTCCTCTATCATTACCTACCCTGGACATGTGACCTCAATCATTACCTACCCTTGACATGTGACCTCAATCGTTACCTACCCTGGACATGTGACCTCTATCATTACCTACCCTGGACATGTGACCTCAATCGTTACCTACCTTTGACATGTGACCTCAATTATTACCTTCCCTGGACATGTGACCTCTATCATTGCCTCCCCTGGACATGTGACCTCTATCATTACCTACCCTGGACATGTGACCTCAATTGTTACCTACCCTAGACATGCGACCTCAATCATTACCTACCCTGGACATGCGACCTCAATCATTACCTACCCTGGACATGTGACCTCTATCATTACCTACCCTACACATGTGACCTCAATCATTACCTACCCTGGACATGTGACCTCAATCGTACCCTTCACATGTCACCTCAATCATTACCTACCCTGGACATGTGACCTCTATCATTCCCTACCCTGGACATGTGACCTCTATCATTCCCTACCCTGGACATGTGACCTCTATCATTCCCTACCCTGGACATGTGACCTCTATCATTACCACCCCTGGACATGTGACCTCTATCATTACCACCCCTGGACATGTGACCTCTATCATTACCTACCCTGGACATGTGACCTCTATCATTACTTACCCTGGACATGTGACCTCAATCGTTACCTACCTTTGACATGTGACCTCAAGCATTACCTACCTTTGACATGTGACCTCAATCGTTACCTACCTTTGACATGTGACCTCAATCGTTACCTACCTTTGACTTGTGACCTTAATCATTACCTACCTTTGACATGTGACCTCAATCATTACCTACCCTGGACAGGTGACCTCTATCATTACCTACCCTGGACATGTGACCTCTATCATTACCTACCCTTGACATATGACTTGACACAAGACGGATACTTGTTCTCTCTGGCCAGTTGATGTACCACAGTGTGCCTGAACTTGTACCAACAATTCCCTGTAACCACACCAATAAAAATTACAGAAATAGCAGTAACATTAACAAAGTACAGAACAAAAAAAATGCAGTTTTACTTCTGCCTTTTTTGCCCTTTAAATGAGGGTGAATTTATTCTGACAACAACTGCTTAACATACTATATAGTCATTGCCTGTAAAAGGCAAAATTAACGCTGGTTGAATATGGATTTTATCAGTGAAGGACAAAAGTTTGACTGGACAAACATTTCCCTGTATACAGTAAAATGGTGTTGTAGCTACAAGTCACAAGTAAATCACAAATCAGTGGCCTTACCATATCCAGTGCCTCATCAAATGCTAGAGACACAACCTCTCCATCCACATTCATTTCATCCTCCATAGTCAAGCCGCCTCCTCGCATGTTATTGTGTTCCCCGGGAAGTCGCATCTCTCCTACACCCACGATGGACCACATTCTTAGATTGCGTCCTGTACTTCCTGTCAGCAGACGGCCACCACGACATACCAAGGCACCTACACACAAGATTTAATAAATCATAAACATGTAGCAAGTAAGGCCTTTCATTGAAATACATATAGCAATTCAAGGCTGTCACACAATATACATAAAGCAGTTCAAAGGTTAGATTTCTGACAAGGCCAATCAGATGTATATCCTTACCTATCACTGACTAGTGACCAGACAGGTCAGATATACACCTGTATTTACCTATCACTGACCAGGCTGGTCAGATATACACCTGTATTTACCTATCACTGACAAGGCTGGTCAGATATACACCTGCATTTACCTATTACTGACAAGGCTGGTCAGATATACACCTATATTTACCTATCATTGACCAGGCTAGTCAGATATACACCTGTATTTACCTATCACTGACCAGGCTGGTCAGATATACACCTGTATTTACCTATTACTGACCAGGCTGGGTACACCTATCCTTACCTATCTCACAGTTGTCTGCCTCCCAGTGTATGAAGCATGTGTTGTGACGGGTATCCCAGGCAGACACCTTGCCGTTGTTAGTTGATACATAAAGCGTGCTGTCCCCTGCGTACACCATTGATGTGAAGTCTACTGATTGGCTCCCCTTTATAAAAATAATTACAGCAGGTTATACCAGCAATATCATTCATTACAGAATCATTGCAATTAATGTCACTTTACTTGTGTGTAATATCGTGTTCTTGTTTTTAGTTTTATTATCAGGTCTATTGAATCATGCTAAATTATAATCAAAACTTGACTGTGTTGAGAAGGTCACACAGTAAACACTGATGGGACAATCAAATAGCAATATTTACCATGTGGTGAGTCTGCATCAGTTCCTCTGGAACATCTGCCTCATGGACATTGAGACACACTTCACTGGAGGTTTCGTCCAGGAGCCAAAACAACACTGTGCCATTCTCTCCCACAGACGCGAACTCATTGACAGTGTAGGGGTCCCACTTGAGCTCATGGATAGGGCTGGTCACTCTCGAACTTGTCAGTATCTCATAGTCGTATGTACTCCATACAACCACACAGCAGTCTTTGTAGTCACCTTGAACACATAGATACAGAATGTTCACTCACCTAGAACACATAGATACAGAATGTTCATTCAACTATAACACAGGAATACATTAGGTACAGTCACCGATAACAAAGGGACTACATACCTAAAACATGATACTAGAAAATATAGCCTCCATGTTCTCATGGAGAAAACAGGGATACAGAATGTTCACTCACCTATAACACAGGAATACAATAAGTTGTGTCAACTAGAAAACAGGGATACAAGGGTAGTCATTTAGAAAACAGGGATACAATGGTATCATCTAAAACACAGAGATACAGGGAAGCCACCTATGACACAGGGATACAGAAAGTTAGCCACCTAGAGTACAGGGATACAGGAAGCTAGTCACCTAGAACACAGGGATACAGGAAGTTAGCCACCTAGAACACAGGGATACAGGAAGTTAGCCACCTAGAGCACAGGGATACAGGAAGCTAGTCACCTAGGACACAGGGATACAGGAAGCTAGTCACCTAGAACTCAGGGACACAGGAAGCTAGTCACCTAGAACACAGGGATACAGAAAGTTAGTCAACAAGAACACAGGGATACAGGAAGTTAGCCCCCTAGAGCACAGGGATACAGGAAGCTAGTCACCTAGAGCACAGGGATACAGGAAGCTAGTCACCTAGAACACAGGGATACAGGAAGCTAGACACCTAGAACTCAGGGACACAGGAAGCTAGTCACCTAGAACACAGGGATACAGAAAGTTAGTCACCTAGAACACAGGGATACAGGAAGTGAGCCACTTAGAACACAGGGATACAGGGTAGCCACCTATGACACAGGGATACAGGTATTTAGCCACCTAGAACATAGGGATTCAGAAAGCTAGTCACCTAGAACACAGGGACACAGGAAGCTAGTCACCTAGAACACAGGGATACAGGAAGTGAGCCACCTAGAACACAGGGATACATAAAGCTAGTCAACTAGAACACAGGGATACAAGAAGTTAGTCACCTAAAACACAGGGACACAGAAGCTAGTCACCTAGAACACAGAAATACAGGAAGTTTAGCCTCCTAATACAAGGAATACAGATGAAGTCTCCTAGAAGACAGGAATAAAGTAGTTAAAATCACCTTCAATGTCAGGCAAGTTCAGGGGATCATGTTACAGTCACTGTCTGTTTTAGCAATATATTTTGGTACTTACCAACCGATATGAGGAAGCGGTCATCACGGGAATACGCCAGGGACACAATGTCATGTTCATGGTGCTGTAGGACTTTGTGACACACCATGTCCTTTAGATTCCACAGGCAGATTTGACTGGCAGACAGACCAAAGGAACCACTGGCAGAGGCCAACACCTAAAACAATAAATCAATGGTCTGACACACTTTTCCATCCTAACAAACATAAAGGTATCTTCTGTGTGAAGTGCAATAAGCTAAACATAGGCGTTCTAAGGCCAGGTTATAGAATCTCTCCCCTAGTGTTCTTCAAAAGAATTTCAAGATAGCCAGGTGGTTAGAAAAAACAATGGTACATATCTTTTGCACAGATATACCCTGATTTGTTTTCTTTTTACAAAATTAACCCAAACCATTGGAGGTCATAATATTTATTTAGTTTTGATAAAATGAAATCAAATATAGATAAGTAAATTTATAGAATTTATATCCCCTGCTTTCAGGACAAAGTTAAAGCCCTGGTCTATTGTTGAGGTTTGGCGTAAACATTGTAACCTATATTTATAATTTGGTCAATGTGAATCTACATTCTAAGTTTCTTTAAAATCTGACATTTTTTTAAAAAGTTACTGATAACAGATTGGAAACCAATTAACTGAACAGAATATGGAAGCCTCATTAATTATACATAGGTTTCCACACATCACAACAGTGATGAAACTTATCCCAAGACTTGACATTATATCATTATATGCATAGCATAAAGTGTATAGACATACAGAAAAAAACAAATAATTAGTATCATCATTTTGTCAGAAAAGCTGGGTAAAATAAATGGGTATAACCGAAATACAACTGGATAAACAGGTTTCAACTTAGTTTCCTCAAGGGATGCGCCAGTTAAAATGGCTTAAGGAGCACATGTGTTTACCTGGCAATCGTTCTGTAAGGCCAGGGTCGAGATCTCCTCCACATGTCCAGTTAGATGTCTCTGCTGTCCAGTGTTCAGGTCCTCCACAACCACCAGACAGCCACAAGTATAGGCAAACAGACCTGTACAAATAAGTGTAGGCAAACTGACCTGTTCAAATAGGTATAGGCAAACAGATCTGTACAAATAAGTGTAGGCAAACTGACCTGTACAAATAAGTGTAGGCAAACTGACCTGTACAAATAGGTATAGGCAAACAGACCTGTACAAATAAGTGTAGGCAAACTGACCTGTACAAACAGGTATAGGCAAACAGAGCTGTACAAATAGGTATAGGCAAACAAACCTGTACAAATAGGTATAGACAAACAGACCTGTACAAATAATTGTAGGCAAACAGGCCTGTACAAATAAGTGTAGGAAAACTGACCTGTACAAATAGGTATAGGCAAACAGACCTGTACAAATAGGTATAGGCAAACAGACCTGTACAAGTAAGTGTAGGCAAACAGACCTGTACAAATAAGTGTAGACAAACAGACCTGTACAAATAATTGTAGGCAAACAGACCTGTACAAATAAGTGTAGGAAAACTGACCTGTACAAATAGGTATAGGCAAACAGACCTGTACAAATAAGTGTAGGCAACCAAATCTGTGAAATCAAGTGTATTTGACAAACTTGATATAATCCTGTATCCAAGAAAGTTAAGGGCCAAATATCAGCTAGACAAGGGTCATTTAAGGACAAGCCTGGTTTGGTTTCGGAGGGAAACAGGAGTACCTGGGGAAAAACCACCCATGCCTTAAGCACATAGACACAGATATGGAGTACACGTGGCTACTATGTCAGCTGAATCAGATATAGGTTGTGTCTTTGTAAGACCTTACCGTGTCTTACCAGTCAGATATAGGTTGTGTCTTTGTAAGACCTTGTCGTGTCTTACCAGTCAGATATAGGTTGTGTCTTTGTAAGACCTTACTGTGTCTTACCAGTAAGATATAGGTTGTGTCTTTGTAAGACCTTACTGTGTCTTACCAGTCAGATAAAGGTTGTGTCTTTGTAAGACCTTACTGTATCAGGCCAGTCAGATATAGATTGTGTCTTTGTAAGAACTTACTGTGTTAGGCCAGTCAGATATAGATTGTGTCTTTGTAAGACCTTACTGTATCAGGGCAGTCAGATATAGGTTGTGTCTTTGTAAGACCTTACTGTATCAGGTCAGTCAGATATAGGTTGTGGCTTTGTAAGACCTTACCGTGTCTTACCAGTCAGATATAGGTTGTGTCTTTGTAAGACCTTACCGTGTCTTACCAGTCAGATATAGGTTGTGTTTTTGTAAGAACTTACTGTGTCAGGCCAGTCAGATATAGATTGTGTCTTTGTAAGACCTTACTGTGTCTGTCCAGTCAGATATAGATTGTGTGTTTGTAAGACCTTACTGTATCAGACCAGTCAGATATAGATTGTGTCTTTGTAAGAACTTACTGTATCAGGCCAGTCAGATATAGATTGTGTCTTTGTAAGAACTTACTGTATCAGGCCAGTCAGATATAGATTGTGTGTTTGTAAGAACTTACTGTATCAGGCCAGTCAGATATAGATTGTGTGTTTGTAAGAACTTACTGTATCAGGCCAGTCAGATATAGATTGTGTGTTTGTAAGAACTTACTGTGTCTGGCCAGTCAGATATAGATTGTGTCTTTGTAAGACCTTACTGTATCAGGCCAGTCAGATATAGATTGTGTGTTTGTAAGACCTTACTGTATCAGGCCAGTCAGATATAGATTGTGTGTTTGTAAGAACTTACTGTATCAGGCCAGTCAGATATAGATTGTGTGTTTGTAAGAACTTACTGTATCAGGCCAGTCAGATATAGGTTGTGTCTTTGTAAGAACTTACTGTATCAGGCTAGTCAGATATAGGTTGTGTTTTTGTAAGAACTTACTGTGTCAGGCCAGTCAGATATATATTGTGTGTTTGTAAGAACTTACTGTGTCTGGCCAATCAGATATAGGTTGTGTCTTTTTAAGACCTTACTGTATCTGGCCAGTCAGATATAGATTGTGTGTTTGTAAGACCTTACTGTATCAGGCCAGTCAGATATAGATTGTGTGTTTGTAAGAACTTACTGTGTCAGGCCAGTCAGATATAGATTGTGTTGTTGTAGATACCTACCTGTGTCAGGTTGCCACACCATATTGCCTCTACCGTTTCCATTGTAGCCAATCACAGACTTGAGCTTTAGACCTGCCTGGTTCGGAGGGGCTGTATATCGTCTCTGTCAAAGAAGGAAATTTGGAGTAAGAATAGAGCACCCACATCTCTGATGCAGAGCCCCAATTAACTTTACTTCAAAGAAAAGAAAAGTACTAAAAAGTATCTGGCTCACATTCATGAAATACTTCACAATATTTTATGATATTCCTGCATCAAAGATACTGAGAAAAGAGTATAAAATAGACAGGTAAGGGAGCATCTAAGATACAGTAAAATAGTATCTAAGAGACAGCAAGATGGGTAAGGAAATATCTAAGAGACAATTAAGGGTAATATGGAAAAACACCTGTGCCATGCCATAGGTCTGTTCCCGCTGCTGGAAGTGTTTGTGTGAGGAGGGTTTCACAGCCTCTCCTTCTCTCCTTGCTCCAGGACTTCCCACAGGGGCCTTCTTCCCTGGACGCTTTCCCATACTGAACTGTTTGTGTTTTTGACGCTGAGGACTAGGTGCAAGTGGTTCAACCCCAACATCCTCATCCTGTAATCAAAACAAAAGTAAATATCACCCTGTAAAGAAAACACAGGTCATACAACCTCAACAATCTCATTCTGTAAACAAAGCACAGGTGATACCGCCTTTATGATTCTTTGAATAACTATGGATTGAGAAACATCATTCTCATTCTACTATATAGTTATTCCCCATTCATTCATACTAAAGCCATCGTCAGCGACAGATTCCCAATGTGTTTACTTAAGTTATCAGTTCAGTTGCCTTCAGTTGTCAGTTCTGGCAGGCAGTTTTCAGGATGTTTCAATGCTAATGTAAAAATGAACACCCTTAACCCATGTACACATAATAATTACAGATACTTGACAACTGTACACCTGAATACAGACATGTGACCTCTGTACACCTGAAAACAGAGGTCACTTGTCTGTTTTCAGGGGTACAGAGGTCACATGTCTGTATTCAGGTGTACAGATGTCACATGTCTGTATTCAGGTGTACAGATACTTGACAACTGTACACCTGAATACAGACATGTTACCTCTGTACACCTGACTACAGACATGTGACTTCTGTACACCTGAATACAGACATGTGACCTCTGTACAACTGAATACAGACATGTGACCTCTGTACACCTGAAAACAGACAAGTGACCTCTGTACACCTGAAAACAGACATGTGACCTCTGTACACCTTTACCTCTGTACACCTGACTACAGACCCTAAATACAGTTATGTGACCTCTGTACACCTGAATACAGACATGTGACCTCTGTACCCCTGAATACAGACATGTGACTTCTGTACACCTGAATAAAGACATGTGACCTCTGTACACCTGAATACAGACATGTGACCTCTATACACCTGAATACAGTTATGTGACCTCTGTACACCTAAAAACAGACAAGTGACCTCTGTACACCTGAAAACAGACATGTGACCTCTGTACACCTGAATACAGACATGTGACTTCTGTACACCTGACTACAGACATGTGACTTCTGTACACCTGAAAACAGACATGTGACCTCTGTACACCTTAATACAGACATGTGACCTCTGTACACCTGAATACAGTCATGTGACCTCTGTACACCTGAATACAGACATGTGACTTCTGTACACCTGAATACAGACATGTGACTTCTGTACACCTGGATACAGACATGTGACCTCTGTACACCTGAATACAGAAATGTGACCTCTGTACACCTGAATACAGACATGTGACTTCTGTAAACCTGAATACAGACATGTGACTTCTGTACACCTGAATAAAGACATGTGACCTCTGTACACCTGAATACAGACAGTGACCTCTGTACACCTGAATACAGACATGTGACCTCTGTACACCTGAATACCGACAGTGACCTCTGTACACCTGAATACAGACATGTGACCTCTGTACACCTGAATACAGTCATGTGACCTCTGTACACCTAAATACAGTTATGTGACCTCTGTACACCTGAATACAGTCATGTGACCTCTGTACACCTGAATACAGACATGTGACTTCTGTACACCTGAATAAAGACATGTGACCTCTGTACACCTGAATACAGACTGTGACCTCTGTACACCTGAATAGTCATGTGACCTCTGTACACATGAATACAGACATGTGACTTCTGTATACCTGAATACATATACAGACATGTGACCTCTGTACACATAAATAGTCTCGTGACCTCTGTACACCTGAATAGTCATGTGACCTCTGTACACATGAATAGACATGTGACATCTGTACACATGAATACAGACATTTGACCTCTGTACACCTGAATACAGACATGTGACCTCTGTTCACCTGAATACAGACATGTGACCTCTGTACACATGAATACAGACATGTGACCTCTGTACACCTGAACACAGACATGTGACCTCTGTACACTTGTAGACTCTCAATCATTTTCAATGTGAAGACTTACAGACTCTTGACTACTGTCTTCATGCTTCTCTGTGAATGCTGTCTTCAGTTTTGGACCGATTAAAATTGCTTCCCTCTCTGATGTTCCAGTCACCAAATCATCATCTGCTAAACATGTTAAAACACACATTTAGGAAGGCGTTCTTGATGTTATTTTCAAAGAAATCATTAAAGCTGTAAAGCTCTTGGGCCTATACATTTAAACTGTTGCAATGAAATATTTGTAAGACTTCTCAAATTTTAAAAGCAATGTAAATCACTTACATTTCACAGGATATTTTTACTTATACATAATTTGTCATTAATTTGTAAGTTGATCAAGAATTCATAAATCTTGTTATGTTGTGATATTTACTCAGAAACAAGGGGTTTGTATATACATGTACATTATTCTCCAGCAAAATCTACTCCATGGGAGTTCACTTTTGCAGCAAAGCGCAAGAGCAAACATTCATTATAGGTAAAAGAATGTACACTAGCTTTAAAGTGACTGTAAATGATGTATTGACTGCGTGGCTAACCTTCATTAGAAGCCTTATGTATGGAGCTAAGATCCTCGATGCGACTACTAGAGTTGTAGCTGATTGGTCGAGGTGGTGATCGCCTTGGTAGCTCAAGATATGACGTTTCCTCTAAACTTCGTTCAAGAATATCATCTATGCTGTTGTCTACATGAAAGATAAAGTACATCCAATTTCATTAAAACTTGTGCCAAAGACACTTGTACACAATATGTTAAGACTAATCAGCTACTGGTACACAATACATTAAAACTTAGCAACAGAAACTTGTACATATTAATCAAAAAGAAGACTTTTAAAGATTTAAGTTTATTTCCTCCATTTTGCCCCATCCCTCTGTTCCTAGTTCTGGACTAGAAACACTTCAAAGGAAAATTTAAAGGACAAACAGCCCAAGTGAGCTTACTAAATCAGATATAGGTAGCCATGGAAACAGGTGTAATACATTAGATCAGATGTAGGTAGCCATGGTAACTAGTGTAATACATTAGATCAGATGTAGGTAGCGATGGTAACTAGTGTAATACATTAGATACATCAGATGTAACTGGCTAAGGTGACTATTGGCCTTGTCATTTTATACTTACTTGTCCTGTCCCGTTGTAGTTGCATGTAGTCTTTTTCAGCGTACTCACGACCCCTGAAACAAAATGGTGACAATCAACTCATACAGAGCTCAAATTATTCTTTTCTATTGTTATACATAATATTCGATCCAGACTTGATTTCTGATGGAATTGAAGAACTGTAACACCTGTATAAAGTTTGTAATGGATTGTTTACTCACTGTACTGAGTAAGGGGTAACTTACCACACAATGGAGCAGCTGATCTCTACAGAGGAGAAAGTGATTCACCTCATGGACGTTTGAAGCAACTCACTCAATCAAGAAGCACCGACTCCATGCATTTAAGCATTAAATCTTGATTTGCAGTTCATGTTGAATTTGTTTCAAGACCAATTCAATTCATCACCCCATGAAACCGACCAAAGCAATTCTGATAGTTTGTCCCAGGTTCTGGAGCTTGTGCAAGTTTACGTATAGATGTAATTTAAACAAAAATATAGTCTGTCATTGTAGGACCATCATACAATATGATGGTATGTGTTGATAGTTCAATACAGCCAAATTATGTAGAAACAAAACACATAACCATATTTTAAATGCTATATTTACTTTTTGTTGATGATTTCATAAGATATCAAATTTTCTGACATGTCATCGCAAAAGACTAATGTCTAGACGCGGTGGGCAGGCTCAGCTGCGAGTCTACAGCAGCCATATTTTAACTAGCTCGAAGTGGAGAGCCACTAAATTTCAAGGTTCTGTATCTTCTGGAATGTGAAGCTGCAGTAATTGAATGTTGAATTAGACAGGAAACCATACGTGGCTTGAAAGTACGAAACAATTTCATATAGCGGTTGGCTGTTCAACTGCATTTCATATAAGACAGGACCACATGGATCTACGTTGTTTTCGATTTGTACCAGGGGTTGATACCGACACAAGAGGCAAAATGGGTAGCTGGAAGGAGAATTTCTAGGGCAGTACATGACTTGTCACTACCGCCAGCAAACGTGAGCTGATTGATCGATTTTGGTTGTTTGAACAATTTCTTGTGTAGCTTCAATAAAAATGTAGTCTCATCAAGTGGTATCTTCTTTGTTAAAACATGTCAATAATTATCTCCCGTCGCAAAATCATACGCACAGGCATTGTTAATCTGGTCAAATTCATCGTTAAATGAAACAGGTTACATTTGTTAGTAGCAACTTGAGTAGGAATTGAAATATTTAAGGGTGAACAATTTTACTGAAGAGGTGGTAACTGACTTTTTGTTGAGAAACTGATTGATCTACACAAGAAGACTGACTTGTCTTTTGAACAAGAAGTGACTACTTCCATTAAAGTGGTTTATAGAAAGGAGTGACCTACTTCACTAATGAGGGGCTGGTTTGTTCTACTTAGGAAGGATGATTTATCCCACTGAGGAGGAAGAGACTCATTTCATTGACAAATAACTTATTCCAATGAGGAGTGGAAATCTACTCTACTGTTGAGGGGGTAATTTACTCTACTGGATAGAAAGTTAATCTTCTCACAAAGGAGTGACTACTACATTTAAAACAGATTGATTCACCCCTCTGAGGGATGATTCAGAGGGGTGACTCATGCCGCTAAACAAGAGACAGGGTAATGTTCTGAGGAGGGGGTGAACTAAGAGACTGAGATTTGACTCGTATACAGAGAGATGACTTATGAGGAGGTGGGCATTACTGTTCTAATCAGGTGACTTGTTTTTACTGAGAGGTGACTCACAGGAGCAGTGGCTCACTCTACTGAAAGCTGAGTTACTTCGCTGGGGACACTTGATTTGCTCTACTGTGGGTATTACTGTTCTAAAGAGGTGACATATTTTACTAAGGTGTGACTCAATCTACTGTGCAGTGGTGACACTTTCTATTAAGCAAGCATTTTGATCAAATGAGGGGATATATCACCCTACTAAGTACATGGTGACTTAGTCTTGAGGAAGTGATGACTTCCTCCACTGAGAGGGGACTCTTTGCTGAAAAGATGGTGATTCCATCCACCAAAATCTGACTAACTTGACAAGGGAGGGAGAGACTTACTCAATTGGAGACGGGGGCTTGGAAGCCATGAAATCCCAGACATAAATTGCCTCTCCAACGCTCAGCAAACCCTGGCCATCAGGGGTGAAGAGGATCTTGCTCACATTCTCCGAGTGGCCTATAAAGACCTGAGAATAAAATAACAGGGCTGTTATTGTTAATTATTACCACACAGGGTAGGCATGCTACAAAGAGCTCTAGTCTGCCCCAACAGAACATCATGTTAAACATACTGATGGTTTGTAAACAAACAAATTTTAGGAAACTGTATCTCAAAAGAAAAAATCCTATGTATAATATTCATGTTATAAATAAATGAAAATACAACATCTGAAGCCAGAATTTGACAAAATTTATCCCAACTAATTTTTCATCATGGGTATAGTTAACTGCAGAGAAACAATACTAGTTGTTAAGTTAGTTAGCTGATTAGGGAGATACAACAGTTAAAGCTTACTAGCTGACTAGGGAGATACAACAGTTAAAGCTTACTAGCTGACTAGGGAGATACAACAGTTAAAGCTTACTAGCTGACTAGGGAGATACAACAGTTAAAGCTTACTAGCTGACTAGGGAGATACAACAGTTAAAGCTTACTAGCTGACTAGGGAGATACAACAGTTAAAGCTTACTAGCTGACTAGGGAGATACAACAGTTAAAGCTTACTAGCTGACTAGGGAGATACAACAGTTAAAGCTTACTAGCTGACTAGGGAGATACAACAGTTAAAGCTTACTAGCTGACTAGGGAGATACAACAGTTAAAGCTTACTAGCTGACTAGGGAGATACAACAGTTAAAGCTTACTAGCTGACTAGGGAGATACAACAGTTAAAGCTTACTAGCTGACTAGGGAGATACAACAGTTAAAGCTTACTAGCTGACTAGGGAGATACAACAGTTAAAGCTTACTAGCTGACTAGGGAGATACAACAGTTAAAGCTTACTAGCTGACTAGGGAGATACAACAGTTAAAGCTTACTAGCTGACTAGGGAGATACAACAGTTAAAGCTTACTAGCTGACTAGGGAGATACAACAGTTAAAGCTTACTAGCTGACTAGGGAGATACAACAGTTAAAGCTTACTAGCTGACTAGGGAGATACAACAGT